TTTCAATGTTTCCAAATAAGTTTGAGAAATATCTTAGCATTATAAACCTAATTGGTCTCTATGGGAAATACAGAAGCTTATTTTGAAGTGGTTTGCTTTCATTTTACTATGAGTTTTGTTTGGTATATTATTAATATGTGAAATAAAGAAGTGAATATCTCAGCATATGTAAAATCATACTTATAATCCATGCAATAGATTGTGTTACATTAGAAGTGCTTTAACTCAGTTCTTTGGAACACAGATTAAACTCTCAGAAAAATAATGGCATCTATAAAGTTTAGGATTCCAAAGAAGACTGGAAAATAATTATATTCTAAAAATAATTTAGCCTGGCTGGAATGGCTCAGTTGAGCATCATTCCATGCACCAGGAGGTTGCCAGTTCAATTCATGGTCAGGGCATAAGCCTGGGTTTCAGGCTTGATCCCCAGTACCCCAGTAGAGATGGGGTGTATGTGCAGGAGGCAGCCAATCAATGTTTCTTCTCATTCATGTCTCTTTCTCTCTCCCTTTCCCTTCCTCTCCCTCTACAATCAATAAACATTTTTTAAAAAATTTTAAGAAAAATAAATAAAATAATTTAAATTAACTTTGGAATATGGAGAGTACATTCAAAATAAAGGAAAACAAATTCTAATGTAATTGGCTTATAGAATATGCATTATCAATATCAGCATAAAAAAAACAATTTCAAATTTCACTTGGTTTTCAGCAATTGATGACCCATACTTGGAGCTAGGCATAAAGAAAACAGACTCTATTTTGAGAAGAGGTAAATAACATAAACATGGTATTAAATTGTATAAATTTAAGATATATTAGAAAAAATAGAGGGTGGCACAAAATAAAGTTGTATGTATTGAAGGTTGGAAGTGAAATTCATGGTTGGAGTGGTCCTTTTCTATGCTAGAATGTTATAAGTCACAGTGGCTAATAATGGTGGTAAATTATTATATATGTATGTATATATAAAAACTAGAGGCCTGGTGCATGAAATTCGTGCACTAGAGGGGGTTGTCCCTCAGCCCAGCCTGCACCCTCTCTAATCTGGGACCCTTCGGGGGATGTCTGACTGCCAGGGATTGGGCCTAAACTGGCAGTCGGACATCTCTCTCACAATCTGGGACTGATGGCTCCCAACCGCTCACCTGCCTGCCGGATTGCCCCTAACCACTTCTGCCTGCAAGCCTGATTACCCCCTAACCACTCCCCTGCCAGCCTGATCGATGCCTAACTGCTCCCATGCCAGCCCATTTGGCCACAACTGCCCTCCCCTGCCAGCCATCTTATGGTGGCCATCCTGTGATGACATGGGGGCTGCCATCTTGTGACCACATCTTGGTGGCCATCTTGTGGGAGGGCATGATGGTCAATTTGCATATTACTGCTTTATCATATAGGATAATACAAATATACATACACATATATTTTATATAACACACAAATACTTTTAATTTCTAAGTGCAGTTATACAGAAATTAGGGCTAATGGCAAAAGAACATTATTTGAAATTGTTCTTGGTCTTTAGTGGCAGGAAAGCTGATCACCAGTACTGACAGGAAAACTGGTCTGTCTGCAGTGGTTGCAAAATGGAGCTAAGAGAAAATATGAGCAAGGAACAAAAATGTTGGGATAAACAATAATAAATAGAGAGGCTAGAAGAGTTAGGAAAGATGCCAAATCCCTGGAAGTTTATGATGAAAAAAGAACATCATCTGAGAAGTCCTTGCATTATCTGCTCTCTAATAAAGAGAGAATTAATCTGTATTTTTTTTATGTGTCAGTGAATGGCTTACTCTTTGTAGTTTGACTCAAAAGTAATTCTGTTGGTAAAATCACCACAATATGTTTTTATTACATAAATGTATTTTAAAGGCAGTAGTTCAGTTGAATGAGTTGAGTAGAACTATTTCCAATGCTTAGTGCATTGTTCAAATCCAGTATGATGAAAATATTATAATGAAACATCAATAATTATAAGCTAAAATTTTAATTTAATTAACATTCTGGGATAAAAGTAAACAGATTAAGCAATAAACTATTGTTCACTCCAGAACTAAATAAATATTTATTCAGCCTCTGTGACATACCAGTGACTTTAATGGTTGAACTTATGTCAACCTTGCTTCTTGGGTAAGCCATCAAGCCAACTCTGCAGTACTCTCTCTTTCCTTTCTAAGGATATATGAAGGAGCCCTGCTTAGATAGATATGAAGCAGATGGGGAGACCAGAGGTCTCAGAGACTGGCGATGGATCAGGAAGGACTTTCAACTGAAGACAGGCGTGTGGAAAACCCAGAGCTGAGAATACACTGGATCCTGAAGAGATATCAAGTACATGATTAGGGAAACTCGAGTTCAGTTTTCCCATCGGGGTACCATATAAGGGCTTTGGTGACAACATCTAAAGTCCATGTACTAAGTCACCTAATAGCAGGACTTTATTCATTTGTCTTGTTCACCACTGAATAGCAAGGGACTGACATATAGTCTATTCTCACACATCTTTGTTCATGGAGTGATTGAAAACTGGGAGGACAATGGAATAAATTCAAAAATAAGAACATGGCTGAAAGCAGTGAAGGCAAGATGCTCCTTTGAATTGAGTGCTTGGCTGTGGGTGCTTTAGTTGGTGTTTGTTAAGAACCCTCTACTTAAAAACAAAGTATGTGATTGGGCAACGATATTTTGTCCAGTGCAAGTTACACTCCTGGGATGTTGTTATGAGGAGTGGGAAAGAGACGTTCATTTTCATTTGCCCTATGTATCAAAGTCACTATCCTGACTTCTTAATGGTTCTAAATGCATGCTTGTATAACCATAGGAAAATGGAATCATTCTGAGAATAAACTTATTTGTACTTTATGACCACTTAGGCCAGTGACGCGAACCTTTTGAGCTCAGAGTGTCAAAATTTTGACACTCCGAACTCAAAAACCCTAACTTAACTCTGGTGCTGTGTCACATGTAGAAATATTCATGATTTTTTTTTTTTGATATTTGCAACCATAGTAAAAAAAAGATTGATATTTTTGATATTTATTTTATATATTTAAATGCCATTTAACAAAGAAAAAGCAACCAAAAATATGTATAAAATGAACAAAAACAGAAAAACAACGTACATTTAGGGAAAAAATAATAATAAAAACACTGATAATCAAATGGTACGAAAACTAGAGAAATTATTGACTTTTTTGGTGCTGAAGTTTGTCTGCTCATTCTTCGATTGCAG